CAATTACATTTTAATTATTTCCACAAAACAAAATCACCCCCCAAAAAGTGAATTTTCCAAAGTCTGATTGCAGCCATTTTTTAAGTTGCAACCCTCAACTTTCTCGGGCACTTAGGACCATTTTTCAACCGTAGTTTTTAGCCCTTCTGCTCTCATATGAAAGCTCAAAGACCCAGGGAGTTGATCCCGGCAACGATTTACACAATCTCACCATTTTGGGGGCCAAACAATCTCTTTTGTTTTTCAAAAGATACGGGGGGCACTTTTAATGCTAATGAGCTGGCCAGAAATCCTCACTTGAATTAATCTCAAGTGCAAATTTTTTAAGATTTACCTGATGTCCCGGATCTACTAAACAATGAAACAATACCCCTTTCATTTTCCAACGTAACATCCGTATGCCCGAATCCCATATATCTAGCTTACCCAAGGTTTTTTGTCCTTGAAAATTTCTTTGTCACTCTTCCACAAATAAACTGTTACTTGCAGACTTGGTAGTTCGGCTCTTTTGAATAACAAAACACGGCGTCCATGTTGACCTGGTCTCAAGAAAATCAGGTTGCCAGCCCCAGGGACGATGTGCACCCTTGATCGGTACGATACCAGTGGCGTAGCTAGAATTTTACTGGTGGGGGGCACAAAGGGGTACCAGCATCTTATGGGGGACACCAGCTTTCAGTGGTGTGGTTTTTGGGGGCAAGTTTTTTGTTAACCTTGCTCAATATCCATTCCTCCACTTTTTTCAAGGGTAGGGGGGAGGCCGGGACCCGTGGTTGCGCCACCGTACGATACAAGGTTTGCTCAGCACTGGAATAGCTGTCCAAAATTGATTAGGCTGCCGGCGACGTCCGTCTGTAAAGTCATGAAAACAACAGCTATGGTCAGGTAAATAAACATTTTATTATTTGTTACGTTTTGATTAAAACCGTGATTTACTTAATACTAAAGAGTATTCATAGTATTTCATGTACCTTAAAGAGATCAACCTTTGATAAACTTGAATTTAAACAATAAAGAAACGTGTAAATTAACAGGCTTTCAACTTGGATCGAAACCCGATTTTCCCCTTAACAGAAAGAACTGGTTACCTCAGACTAAAATAGGGTTGGAATTGGTATTCTGAGTTGCTGAGAAAGCAGGATGTCAGGTTTTTAAATTCGCGATCAGGAGAGTGATATTAAAATTTCATGGAATTGGAAGCAATACAAATACAAGAGAACGAGTTTCCTATTGCTACGAGACGCAAAACTCTCTCACAAGTTTGCACCCAGCCTTTGTCATTTTAGTTGATGTAATAGGTTACGAAAACCAGGCTGCTTGAACACTATTCCATAGTACCTGTCCGGTTTGTATAGGGGAGATCCCTAGGATGAGATCATCAATAGACCTGACTGTAAATTTCAAGCTTGCCTTATATGGGCATTTGCCGTGAATGGCGCGCTGTCGTGCGGTGAATGTTTGTAGAATTTTCAGGTCCATTGCATTTGTAAGATACATTGTGGCACTTAGCGAACTGGCAGCCTTCTCTCTGGAGTACACAATGAATGTCTATATTGTGCAACATATGTACCAAGAACTCGTAGCAATATCCCTTAGAAAGTACATGTACGTCTATCGTTGGGTGAATTCACAATAGTGGCAGTCCCCGTTTATTTTAGTACATGCACATCAATCTCTACGAGGTTAAAAATAGCGACATTCAGAAAACGCATAATGTGAAACATCAATACTCTTTTCTTCATCTGAAAAATGATGTAATGAAGTTTCACTTCAAGAAAAGTACATAGGTCAAATGGAATTGGAACATTTCTCCGTGTCATTCTAAACAAGTTATGAACAAATGATTCAGGGATAAGATATTTAGGATTTCAAGACATTGTGTTTCTTAGCTTTTGCCGGATAAGAAAGTAAAACGGAAAGCATCTAGTTTTGCATGTCATACTTAGTCAAAATCATTATGACAAGTCTCATATCAATAGGCTGTCGCGAGAAAAATGTATCACCCACGTTTTGCTTGACATTTCAGAGAGGGCATCTTCATGACACTATATAAACTTGCTGAAGATGCGGATCTAAAGAGCATCAAAGTGTGCGGATCATCTCTCATGTACCTGTTCTGTTCAATATGACGCTTCCCTGTCGGTTATGACAGTACGCCTAGTGTGCTAGGTTTGAGTATATTGCATCTTCCCAAACTGAAGTTTTATTATTTATTTGAACAGTTTAAGAGGTTTCAATTTTTCTTCAAACTGGTCAGCCATAGTACACGTTTTTCCTGGGACTTTTCAGAAGCTGAAGGTGTGGTTTGGATTCCCACGCGACAAGACACTGACACTGACTGGCCCATGTAAACTCCTGACTGCGTCATTACGCAGACATAAAGACAAAATCAAGCTAGACTTCGGCCGGTTGGGTGTTGGTTCCACATCTAATGTACTGGTTCCAATGCTAACAATTGATCCGTAATATTATAAGTAAATAAACACTGCCTTTCTACGCAATCAGTTGGTAGTTTTACACACGTCATCACAGCCGTCAGCTAAACGTTCACACACATGGTCATCATGCATGGACAAGTTATTATATTTCCTGTCATGGTAAGCTTCGTGCACTGGGTGTGTGAAAAAAGAGAATTGTTAACTTTCAAATTTACAGGGTATTTACTGTCCAGTTACAAAATGTTTCGTGCGGCAATTCATTAGTCTTGTGTTATACGGTTGCATTTAAAAACATGCATCCCGTGTGTATATAAAGGCTGTGTCAGAATTGTTTGGCTACGACTACACGTAACCTGTGCGCCTATGCTAGCCACTACTTAGCGGCTCAAGCCATTTCCCATTAGCTTGTAATTTCCAGCTATTCTAAGTACTTAGGCCTCAGCCCAAGAATATACATGTATGCAGTGACCGCTGTAGATTTTTCGTTTACAATGACCCTGTATGTGTTAGCTCTGCTTAGATGTATACATCTCTTTTATTTAGGGTCAGTAGGTTCCATGAAATTCACATGCTGTTTATGTTATTGTGGTGAACAATATAATAATCAAATTATAATAATAATGATAAAGCTGAGAATAGCGGCGTTTGAAATTCATTTCTTCTTCTGTTGAGGCTTTTTGGTGACTTTTATAAAATTTAGTTATAAGTTATAAAGTTACCAGCAATGTACTTTAATGGGTCATGGTCTCGGGATACATACTTTGACCTGTGAGGGAAATACCTCAAAATGACTGATAACAGTGACAATTCTAACGATGACCTTCAAAATACCACAGGCCATTAAAATTGCACTTATTTGTTGATTTTCATCGACATTTTCGTTGACTTGCTAAAAGTGATAAAGGAAAATTCAAGTTTTAAAGGCCTTTGTTGTTTCGTTGTAAAGCTACACTAACCCTCGTGCTAGAAATGACCGCAAGCTGACTTGGGTCTGAAGCGGTGGAGAAACTGACCTCGTATTCCACATTTCCATTTGAATGAAATTCCACAATAACAAAGAAACGATGAACGATGAAATATTTGAACCATGATATAATGCTGAGACCTTTACTGAAGCTTTGTTCATTTGGAGCAATGTAATATTATAACACCAACTCCGTTTGGGCAACCCTGTGGAACTTCAGCTTCAGTTTCATGAATTTACATTGAACCAATTGTTTTTCAAAGTGCAATAGGGGATTTTCAATTTAAAAGTGCGTGCCTGTAACATGCAAACAATAAGGAACGTGAAATTAATTGTTTGGGTTTTAAATATAACTCTGTGAGTCACAGAAGATTGTGTTCGTATAAACTGTGAATGAAAGAGGTTCCCGTACCCAGGAAATGGCAGGTTTCATAACTCGAGTGGCTTTATTGTTTGGTCAACAATACATGGATGATATCATACTTTGTCGAACATAACCCAACAACAAAATGCCCTGAGTGAATGTGCTTTGCTTAAACTAGCGGGGAATATAATCATAATTTGGCTTGGCGTATGACTGGGAAATGGATACACATTTCTCGCAATTGATGTGCTATGGATATATTATGTCACTTGATGTGAGTCGTGAAGAACGGCTGGGGCTGAGCAACACCATAATATGGACTTTTTTAGCACAACCCTCGAAAATACACCATTTAGGTTCAGTTTCTCTTGAATTTTCAATTTTCAAAGGTGATGTACAATAGTGTGTCGTTGGTTTTTATGCTAATATATGCCGTTTTCCATATTCATGAGCAAAACTGTTATGTCACAGAAGACCTCCGTGTTACAAAGATTTGTGCATAGAAACGGCTTAAATGTTTGTATAATTTGCTGTCCTAAAGTAATATTTTCTTTTCATTTGATACTGGTTTTTATAGGCATTAAATTCCACAAGTGACCCGTTCTCGGAAATTTGTTTCCATAAGCAAATTCGAACAGAAATGCCAATGAACTGATACCGAGTGACATCACAGCAGTTGTGGTCTAAGTTGTCCGGAAAAATATAACAAGTTATTCTGAAGGTTCTCCGGTCCTACACCATCACCTTGGTTTTGTTAGAAAAACGGCAGCCTAAAGGCTGCAGGCTCGTAAATAAGACTATGACGGAAGCTACACAGATTAATGTATCTCTAACCTCCTTCCCCATAATGTTGTATTTAGACACCTTTGTTAATTATCCACCAGCGTTTGACCCTTCTGACAAAAGATGTTGATTTTAGTAATCAGTCATTGTAGTGAAGGTCTCTCGTTCTGATTCTTTTTGGTCTTTATCTTAATTCAAGGATCTGTACTGAACAGCTTTCTTGTCGAGCTTTTGAAATATTTTGAATACCCCCGTCGCTTATAATTCCATCACACTGTGACGATTTCACGTAATCAGTCTTTTTACACAGACAAACTTTCTATAAAGATCGAGGACGATGATTACCGTCTCAAGAAATGCGACAAGCTGGTAAGAATCATCCTCAAATATCGTTGATTATGAAGTGACTCGTCTCAATCCAATTTGTAGCTGGAATTTATGTACAACAGATCAAGAACCTTTTCCGCGTGAATTTGCTACTGTACTCAGTGGCATTATTCTGACGTCAAAGAAACTGAGTTTTAAGTTGCGTTGGAAACTAGTAAATGTAAATGATAAACTAGTACATGTGTTAAGTAATTATTCGAAAAAGTCACAAAATAGAAAAGAACTCAGGAGCTAATCGTCAGTAGTTGTCGAGGGGCCAGGCAGAGAACAGTGATAATTTCAGTTGCGTTGCTATGGTTGACTGCCTCAAACGGCACGTGTCGGAACATGTGAGGAGCCAAACAAAGAAATGATATTGTCATTTATTTCAATCATAAGAGAATGAATCATGCCAGGATTTTTTTTTTTACATCTGGTAGCTACCGAGGGAACTGGATGTTCTGGGGAACCCACTTTCTCTTAAAGCCTTAACTATGGTTAACTTATCACTAGCAACTGCTTTATAGTAATGTAGAAGTTCAAAGTCAGTTCTGATCAAAATGATTTCAGAGTGATGAACGAAAAAGTTCACGTTCCAGCTTCTCAGTTGATTTAATATATTTCTCATATTCGGGTATTTGTCTTTCATGACATTGTTCTGTTTGCCAAATTCCTTCGTCAGGGTGGACCAGCTAACAAACAGGCAAGAGGAAATGGCGGAGCAAGCATTGGTTTCTGTCTCATCTAAAGAGACACTAATTTGATGAATGTGAAGGGATGGAGAACTTGACATGTTCTCGAACGTTATGTGACAACGAAATCACGCCAAGTTTAACCATCCTGTAGCTGGAGAAAACATGAACAGAATTTGTGAAAGAGAAAGAAAAGTTCTTCAGAATTTTACCAACGAAGTTGGGCAGTCTCAGTGGAATTTCTGAAGGAGGATTTCTTCCACATTTTGCACAGAGAGTGAGGTGGATTCATCATGAAGGCTAAGATTGGACAACTATTGTTCTCTGAATTAACAGACGTGTACTACTCGTAGTCGTAGACACGAAGGGTTTCATCCGAATTTGTTGTCTAGAGCTAGGTCTTGGTCTTTGCTACGCGGAGACGCGCAGACAATAGACCTAGCCTAGCGCCCATAAGTACAGTCGACTCTCGTTATAACAAAGTTGCAAGGACCAGACAAATTACTTTGTTATAATCAGAATTTTGTTATAAGAGGAAAAACATAAGAATTCAAGAAAGTGGGATTCTCAGAAATTGTTCTTTTGTTTCAGTTTTTTGTTATAACTGTTCTTTATAATGAGAGTCGACTGTACGTTAATAGATGCGGCAGTAAAGAGGCGTTGGATTGCCCGCTTCAGTCTCTGCTCTTAAATTTTATAATTTTACTTTCTTGAGACTTTGGCATACGGAGTATTGAGATCCTAAACATACTGCCCTGAACATAATCTTAAGATACCCATCATTTTAATTTTCCTTTCCACCAGTCTACCCTTCTCATGGTGACTGACAAATGACGAGACTGACATTGCTGACTTCTAGGGAGTGAGAGCGCCCTCTATATCAATTTGTACCGTCGGAACTTTTTTTGTCATGTAATTAGTGCATCTGAAAAGTTACCATTCACATAATTCCGTCGCCGAACGCAAAAAAACTCCTCCAGGAGGAAATGGTGCTATTTCTTCAAATTTAAGAGACTTAATACATTTTCTGAAACCTTTAAAGTAAAAGTGTCTTTGCCGCCTGCAATGTGAAATCAGAAGTTAAAGCATGTTGTGCATGCAGAATAAAACAATATCCGATATTTTCACTCAAAAGCGCTGATCTATTATCATTGTAACATTACATACCTGTACTTTTGTACGCCTCTTACTGCATGGGGCGCCCTCTGATGACTTTGAATGTGCAAACCCACCTAATTTGGGATTGATTTCTTATGTTGCATGCCTCGAAAAGTACAAACGCCGGCCAAAGCATGATTTGCAACCTTTTTGGGGTTTTGTGCAGCCCGTCAGTTTGAGGAATTGTAAAACAAAGGAAAGGTGGAAGCTGTGAACAGCATTGCGACCTTGCATTCTGTAAACTTTGTCTGAAGCGAGGTTCTAATAGTGCCCTAGTGGGAATGAAATTAGGCATCTTTTTTATCATGGGAGGTGAACTTCATGAATACTTTTAGTGGTTCATCTTCGGAGGAAGTTACAAAGTTCTTTCAAACGTCTTCAAATTACCCACCGATTGTTTTTCTTCTGATTTTTTAAGTAAAGGTATTTGATGTTGTCGCTTTAAGGCAGTTTACTTACTGGTCTGCAACCGTAAACCGTATTGCCCTCTGAAATGGAGTGCTTATGTGAGACTTGTACACCACCTCTCCGTGACGGGTGACGTGTGACCACAGTTTATGTGTATGCGTATGACGTGTTCTCGTTAGAATAAAGTGCGCCCTCATTCCCAACAGACCTATAACATAATGACATCACGCTTTGTAGATGGGCGCTTGCCTGTGTCATTTAGTTGGAACACACAATTCATTGATCCCCATTGGAAAGCATACTTGTACACGTAAACATCATTGTTTTAGGTTTGCTGCGGGTCCCATCCTTCTAACCAAAACAAGGGTTATGTAACTATTTTGCTGCATTACTTCCATTACTGTACTTGCTTTGCAAGAGATTTTAGCCGAGTCTTTCGGAACTAGCCATGAGGTTAATTTTTTTAAAAAGTAATAAGCATTAAATAAAACTGGAGTTCTGACCAATCTGCTCTTGACGAATTGACGCCACCTCGGATCTCTCATTTCCAGAGCGACTAGACCACCAACACATTAATCTTAAATTCCATCTCTTAAGCCATTCACGAACGTCTACACATACGACAGGTCATCCATTAGTAAACGTCACCATCGGCACCGTGTTGGAAGCTTACACAACCAGGCACGATGGCTGTCATGTTTCCCGCCAAAACCAATCACCTTCGCTCTGATAAGTCTGAATTCAGTGGCGCCTTTTTCTGCACTGTTACACTTAGCAATCACGAGGATTGCATTTTTTAATTGACGAAACCTATAACGTGCCAAATAAATGCCTGAGTGTCGAAATAGTTTCAGATGAATAGCGAAATACAAACACCTGCAGTAGATGTTTTACTTCCAAGACCAAGACAGGCATGAGTAATATCTGTGGGTAAAATGTGTATATAATATGAATGAGGGAAACGACTGAAGATATGCCCACGAAGCTTAATTTTACTGTTGATCAATTCCAAGTAATCCTAGCCGGTTGTTACACAGTATTTTTTCCGTGTTTGCCCGCGATCTGTACATGACATATCTGTTGCCTTCCTACCTCCAGACAGGTAGTCAAGAACACTAACTTCTGCTGTTGGTAGTCCTAGATTGCCAGTCATGTACCTACTTGCGAAGTCATCGTTATTAGCTAGGAGTGATGACTCTCAACAAAGACTTTCAGAGTCTGGCTCCGCTTCACCAACTTGAGTTTGTAATTTCATTTTTCAGTTGTTCTGCTTTGTTCGTACGCATTTACAAGCCATTTTCCAATTAGAAAATTTCAAATCAGTTTGGATGTCTTTTTATCTCTTGCGGGAATTTAAGATAAATCTTTCAAATTGTTTCAATCAGCGGCAAATTGTTCTTCGGAGTTTAATCATCCCATCCCATGATCTTTTTTCACCTTGTCTCTTGTCATTTAGTACAGAAACGACTTCATTATTTTCCCTCGTTTTCCCGTGGAGGTAGTTCCCTGCGGCCACCTTGATCAATTCTACCCAGCCCCCAGACCCTTGGGACTGCTGTAAATCGTCCAAACAAGACGCTGTGATCACTCTTTTTTTTCAAATTCAATCTTCCTCAGAAATGCCAACGGCCGCTTTGAGTAAGCAAGCAGCATTGGACGTAACCATGACGCACGCTGTACTGTTTGTTATCAACCCAAGGCACAAGTTACCATCACTCAGCCTTATAAGAAATTATCTGAATAATTAAAAGGTTTGTGCTGGAGATATTTTGATTAGAAATATCTCTGCACCGAAAAGAACACTGATCTGTGGGGAAAAAAAACGATATTGACGAGACAAAAATACCAAGTTGTATTTCATAATGTTTATTACTGGTAATATCGCTATATACTGATTCCCCTAGTTATCACTAAGTACCGGTACACGTGTAGCTGAAGGCGTTTTGATTGTTAGCAAGAGCTTCTTCAAATGTCTACAAATTTTGCCCCCGAAAAACACTTTCGATAAAAACGAAAGGTCCCGAGAGTTCCCTGTCTATGTCATCCCTGGTCGGAGTGTAAAGATATTATTATGACGGTACCCTTTGCGAATCTGATTTGGGAATTTGCATCTTGGGAAAAAGACTGACGAGAAATGGTTGTTAAATGACAGGACGTGGAAAGTTGTATTGCAGGTTTTGAGCTTGAGCGTTTAAAGATTAGCTGCAAGTGCACATCTTGGATGGTGTAATCCGACACTTCATAAAAATGCCCGAGAATAACTAACAAACATCCAACGAAATTACCATTAGTTTTTATCAATGCCGGCTTCTTGGATGCGTTATTGATATTTATAGTAACAAGCAAACTTCATTTGTTTTGTGTTTGAATAAAGAGGATGCCACTGAACAAAATATTACGTAGTAATTCATTTATATTGATGAGAATTACCAGAAACCTTCCAAAATGTATAGACTTAAATGTATACAGTTGGATTTTCTTTTACTCCTTATAAAAGGTGTGTGGTTTTAAGAAGTGCCATCTAAGAAATCACCAAAGACATGTTAAACTCTTCGAATCCATTCTCCATCTTTCAGTTTGTTGCTGTTACTCTGCCTTCCTCATTCTCCGGCTTTGGCTCACATTTTGTCAATGAAGTGCCTGTGTGTAATTAAATCAAGGTTGTTGAAGGCTTACATTGCATCAAAGCTTCCTTGCTTTGCGTTTGTTGGAATCTACTGGAAAATGGATCACAATCTGCAAACTGTTGACTATTTTGTTATTTAGTCAGGTAGCATAAACTTTAATTAGCACGATTATTGTTATTTGCTATTTCACTTTATTGAAACAGAATTAATTACTGTTATGCCAAACAATAACAGCATGTAGGTGATTTTGGAAAAGATATTTGAAGGAGGCGTTTATATAAAATAGGATGAAAGCTTGTTGATTTTTCTTTGTAAATTAAACTTGTTTAATAATGATATGAAAACTATGATTGATTATAAAGTTGAATCGATTGTAGTTGCCAAGTGTCATTTTCTAAAGCAATTTATATGTTCACTGGAGTAGTCTAGTCTCCGCCTCATTAATCGGCATTTAACGCTTCCTCTCGGAGGTCCGTTTCCAGCCTCTTTCGCACCCAGCACCGATGCACTTGAAACCATCCAAACTGAACGGAGCGCGATTCCTCTTCCAACCTCGTCCCCCTGCAGACTGGAAGCATGAGTTGCCATCGCATGGCTTACGCCATGAGCGGTCTACTCTTGCCTGCAGGAGACCGTGAAGAAAGTTGTTGAGCGCTTCAGCATCCTCTGGTGTCTCCATCCCGTCGTTGATGGCAGCCTCGTCTGAGCTCGTTGCTAAGATAGCAAACATGGCGATCATGAGGCCGATGAATAGAATGTAGTTAGTCATGATGATAATCTGTCAAAATGAGAAAAAATAATAAAATCAACCCTGAAATTTGAATTTTGTCATGATGAAGGTGGCAAGTAAAGTGAATAGGTTTGCGGTATTGCCTTTAAAATTAATCATGTTACATAACATTCTTTGAAATCCTTCTACACTAATGGAGGCCGTTTTGTGTTGCTCACGGAACCAGATCATTCGGTACTTGTGTAATTACCTCAGTAGTATCTGTCTCGAAATGTTAAATTGTCCATTTTTAAGGTGAAGTACGGTACTGTATGACGTAGCTGATCAGCTGTATTTTTTTCATGTGACCCTTTTGTCAGCCATTCTAAACACTCTCACATTCCACTGTTCTTCATCCTTCACTGCAAATCACCTTGCACACGTGAATTAATTCTGTCGAAACATGTTTTCTTGAGCAAGTTTATCCCTACTTTAATAGCTACAGATGAAGCGAACGGCTCTTGAAAATCTAAATTGCCAACATGGATTCCGATTTGATTCTAGGCGACACATTTTATTTGACATGACAGCTGGTTAATTTTCCTCTCTTTTACTGAGTGAATGATTTTATATAACTCCATATTCACAACGTTATATTAATCTGCCAAGTTGAAATACTTTTTAATCATTGATATGACAAAGATCATATTACAGACGTGGATGAAATGAAAAGTTGATTGCTATGCGTTGTGGGACGCCAACCTAAGTTCACAAGGGATAACATAGTCAGATCCAATCGGAACAGATGCAGAGTGATTCCGATGTTACCCCTTTTCCTTCACGTTTATCAAAAACCTTTTTCCCTTTTTAATTCTTTCTTATCCATTTATCGATAAATCTCCAGAGTTTCCTTCTGTAATTTGATATGATATGACGACCACATGCGCCTGTCTTTTGCTTCGTCTTTTTCTCTGCCTTCCATCCAACACTTATTCCTGTGATTTTGACTGGGACCGTTTGACGGGTTCAATTACATAGAGGCATTAACTCGTTAGAGTATGATTACAAAACACCTATATATCCCCCAGGTTCCATTCCCTCAACATTGCAGATCTGCTCCGAGGAACTTAATAGGACTTGAGCTGTTTCGTAGGGGGATCTGATCCACCCATCAATCTCGTAAAGCCTCAAGACGAGGAAACGAGCCCACAATGCCGCCTCGCGCAACCTTAGAGCAAGCTTATCAGCCCGAGCGTAGATATTCGATTCTCCCCCGTGTAAATTGAAAAATTCACCGGAGCGAGTGAAAGTAATACACGGCGCAATTTTTGGCGATTATTTGCAGTGTGTCAGATTGAATGAGCATCTCGTCAAATACCGAGCTAAATGAAAACTTCAAAAGCCGCTTGGAATTGTCTTATTTCGAGTCTTGAATCTGTAAGAAATATTTGAAGGTCTGCACATTCATATTGAGTCGTTAATCCAGGGACATCTTCAACAATATTATTGTATTTATTTCAATCATGCATTTTCTCAATTTTTATGTCAACATGGGAGGGAAAACATCTCACTTGACGCCTATGGCAACCAGGTGACAGAAATTATTACCTACTGCATTATTAGAAACTATACATCTGAAATAACAAGTGCCGTACAACCCCTTTTCGACAGGCCCAATTTCACTAGGAACCGAACCAGAAAAGATAAGCTCCGAGTGACATTTTTTTTCGATCAGGCGTCTGCTACGTAGCATATACGTAACATATTCTCAGTTATTCAAGTATATTTTGCGATTTTGGATTCAGAAAAATATACAAGCACGAATTCACTTTTGGCAGTATACATATAACTGTTTCAAAATGGGATTTTCTTTCATTCAACTGGAATAGATTCTGATATTTAGATCTAGTATCTACATCACTTCACTTTATTTCCTGTCACAAAACTGATGCATTTAGTCTTTCTTTTTTTTTGAATGCGGTGTCGCATTTCTTTATTTATTTGAAAACTTCTGCATTGTTTGTTTTTCTGTACCGTTGATTTCGTTAAACCTGCGTCTCGGCTAAAATGCCCGCTATAGATCCAGTCCGATTGGGTCGTCATTGACGCTATGGTATCAAATTCTTAATCAATTTCTTCGAGCAAAAAGCCACAAACGTGTGATCGTCACTTGGCCTGAGCCAAACAAATAAATTGAAGTAAATCACGTCATGTACAGCAGGGTCCCTTTACAGAGACACATTCGCACCCAAATTGATCTAAAAGCTTTTCTGCCCTCTCCGATCACTTAGGTTGTCCTGAGTTATTCTTGTGAAATAATTAACGTTTAGAGCCGCAGATACTTAATAAGTAGCAGACACGTAAAACAAACACCGCGTGAAATCGTAGCGAGTGGCTGAGAGAAATGCGCGGTCACAGCACCCGATTTCCCCCAAAACACGCTCGCTAACGGCACAAATGCAGAACCTACGTGAGGGCTTTTCTCTTGCAGAATTTTTTTCGTCGTCACCTTTTGGAGCTGAATCTTCCCAAAGCCATTAGCCACGCATCGTGCCTGTATTTGGCAGCTATTTTCATGTCGCCCGAAGCATTCTGGAATTCACGGGGAATATAGGTGAGGGGGCGTGACCTAATTTGATATCTGTTGAACGAATTAAAGCGTAGCTTTAAGCACTCCAGAGTAGGACAGAGAAGGGGCTTTTGCGTGGAGGATTCAACGACCCAGTGAAGGAATAATTCCCAAAATTAGGGACTGAGCACGTTGTTTATTCCATACCAGAATCATGCATGTAAATCAATTGAACGAACAAATCACTTATATAGTTAAAAATACTTGGAATGGACACTCGCCAATTTCAGACAACATTTTGTTTGCCCAAGTCGTAGTACTAGTGGTATGGGGTTAGAAGGAGGAATAGGTGTGGTCGAAGGAGGAATGGGTGTGGTCGAAGGAGGAATGGGTGTGGTCGAAGGAGGAATGGGTGTGGTCGAAGGAGGAATGGGTGTGGTCGAAGGAGGAATGGGTGTGGTCGTATAGCTCTCAGTTGTCCAAGCAATATTGCTAATGTGTGCGGATGGTACACTGGATTTGATGTAAATTCCTTGAAGAAAACCACAAAGGAGATGCTTTTGCATCACGTAATATGTATGGATTTTAAATGGTATTTGCTCATCTGGTGCTCATAATATAGACGCCAGACCGTGGTTGGTGAATTCATTGTTTTTAAAAATATATACCAGACTCAATGATTGCACATTAGGCTGCCTTTCCTCGTGTACGCGGTCGTTCATTGCGTTTCACGCCTGTACAATTTTAATGAACACTCTTTGCAGCTGACGCATTACCAACTCGAGGCATAGCAAAAATTCTCATGTGGAAAGACGCATTTATTACAGTGTTACACTAACATAAAAGAGAGAAGGAATTCCTGAATTTGAGTGGTTCTTTCATGACAGTGATTTGTGATATGGCCACGGCTATGTTGCTGTGTCAGTGTTACTGAACCTCCCCAACAACCGTTCCACAAAAGACAGCGAAGCCATTTGCAATGTTCTGCCACACTCTGTAACCATGAGAGCTAGAGTTTTCATCAAATTAAATGGTACAAGCACGTTAGATCACCTACAACGTCTTCCATATCTCTCTACAGATATCCCGTCTAATTCACGGCGACACATTCAATTTACTGGGCTGTCAGATCTAACCGTCTCGCGGCCCATGAACCTTTTCTCCGCTCGCTTCATGCCAAATGTTTGCGACACAACACGTCCCTGGCAGCCCAATCCTTTCAAATTCATTTTATGGAAAGCATTTTTCAGCAGTTTTCATGAGAACACGTTTTGTGCAGCACTTAACGTTTCAGTAAATTGCAATTTCATAAAAGGATTTGTCGTTTCATTCTACGTCAGCCCTTTTTAAAATGTTAATCGCCCTTTCTGTTTCTCACACACTTTTCTAAAAGCACCTGTAGTTAAATGTAGTATTATGAGCCAAAGCAATTAAATTATTGTCATGAGTCTCATGTCCTCGGAACCTTCATTTAGTTTATCAATAGTAAATTCTTAGGACGGAGTTACATCAGGAAAGAAAAAGAGGGAAAATCTGATGCGAAGACTGGTTTTTAGTAACTTTAGGCTCAGTTCAGTAGTTATTCAGTGAAGAATCGTGATTGAGTCTAGACACACGTTTACCTTCGGATGGAGGGGGGTGGGTTCTCCATCTTTATGTGGTCTCCTAAAGCACTCGGTGATTATTTGACACTGGGAAATTTGAATTTGAAATTGACTTACTTCCTTATAACTAGACATCGAGAAACTTGTCTTGCACTTGTCTTGTGAGTGTCTTCCGTGAACTTAAATCTTTTGTGTTGACTTTAAAACCTGAGTTTTACTTCGTGACCCGGAACTTACATGTGTGATATCCCTAGGTACATCATCACCTCTAAACATTATTTTGATCTCCTTGTGGGATGGGTCAGGAAAACATTCTGTTAATGATTGTACTCCTTCCCTTGAAATTTTAGTTTCCATCCGATGATGACGTCACCCACATTCAAGCTTTCTTCGTAATGAGCATACCTTCAAGATTTCCCGTAGGAATTTTACAAGTACTCCAACTTTCACCCCATAAAAGGTCAGCAACATATGCCAATTTTTTTCCGTTGATGAAATAAACTGAACTAAAATGCGAAATCCGCCAGTTCTAATCTTGTTCGGAGACTTTTCAGCGAACAGTGCATGTATTCCTGAGAGAAATCGGATACCTCAGTAGACACCTTCGTAATGGGCTTTAGGGAAAAAATGATCTTCTTTCATGGACACTTCGAGGTGAGACTGAATTTCTCTCTCAATCTGAGTGAAGGCCTACCTCCTCCAAAGAAAAGTACAGATTGTTGAAGTAATCACTCTCTATCCTACAGCATCAAATAGACAAAACGTGTAGTTTGTCGATGCCTAGAATGAAATTTGTTATATTCTGTCATAGAAACAGCCATATCAAAGTCAGTAGATATTTTTAATTGAGCGTCATTTTTCCGAAACACTTTTCTTGTCTGACAAATTGTTTGTAATTTTCCCGCATTTGTACAATTTTTGTTTGGCAAAACTGAGACAGCATGAAGAGTTGAGGCTTAATACTTTTTATATCTAGTTTTTCATTGAAAATGATTGATGGTCGGAAAAAGTTATTCAATTTCTTATCTGAATAACGTTTCGTCAATTCTCAGCTTGCAGACGGCAGAGTAATCATTCGACTTTTGGAACTTCTGTATCTAATTGAAAGCTTGGCAGTCGCTATTTGAACTGTACATCTCCCAATCTGTGCCGTCGAAACTATCGAGTTAATCCCAAGTGACACTCACCTGCACTGTCGGTCAATCAAGGTAGGAGCTCTGTGAGTACTTAAGAAGTGTCCTCGTCGAAAACAAGATGGTGTAGCAAAGGGGAAACTGTACCTTGGCGGATGCAAGGTCCGCTGGCTTGATGAAGGAATGAAAGATACGAATGTCTCACTCGTGGTCCACGTTGAATCGACTAACTCAGTAGGTCCCAAAGACAAGTCTTAAAAACGCAGTCTTCGTTTGACTACTGACAGTCCCTTTTTAGGCGTAACCATTTCGCCGTCAATCATACACGTATAGTCACTCGTAACCTCCTCAGAGTTGCCATGCATCGAATTCATGTAAGGACTGGTGCATCTCTATTCCAAGGGTTGTCCTTTGTAAGCAGTTTGGGAAATTGTCTCCCAGGGGAGCTCTTAATGATGCAAGAAGTATATGCAATTGTATCATTGTTGAGACAGAGGATGCACACTTTGACGGAGCACTGCGTCTTTTCCAAACACGCGATGTTTGATAAATGGCATCTCTTAACCCTGTACTTTTCGCCAGACTTTTATTGATTGTAATTAATGAAATACCTTCAACCCTTTCAATTTATTAATCCTTTGAGGGTAAGATTTTAATTGATAATTTCAATTCTAATTTAAATGTATAGTATAAAGAGTTATCGTCATGTACATCTTGTATTTTTACATCTTCGTGAATTCGTGTATACGGTGATTTTAAGACAAAACCAGCCCTGATGTGCATAATTTCCCCTACCATTTCAGTTTGATTTCCGTTTCCCTATTCCCTATGAGTTACTCGGCAGGCCTAAAAGACATTGTGCGTGTCTATGTAAAACTCTATAAAAGCAATCAGACGCACATTGAGCATGCACCCAAGGTCATGGCTTGCTGCAGTCAAAAGCTATTGCCCCCAATCGTTGATTCAATTCCTGTTCATTTTTCTGTGGCCTTTTGGTGAACAATCAATGATAGTAAGCAGAAATGCCTTAGCCATCAAATGCATGTGACCTTGACTTTTTTATCGACACGAAAGAAAACTTACGACTTGAAGATCTGCCCGCTTATTACGTGGGCACATGGATGTAATGCTCTATCGTCATTTTTACTTCGCATGCTCGCTCACTTTCTCAGCACATCTTAACACATTTTTGTCTTCCTATATTTCCACGTTAATCTTTCTTCACCCCGTTTGGTCCTCGTGTCATTTTGTATTAGGCCTACTTGCTGCTTCTGGCCCATGTCACAATATCCGTAATGCTGCTCTTCTTACTTTTTGTGGTTTTTCTCTCTGGCTTTTAGAAAACCTTAAGAGGAATATCGTTTCATATTTAAAGGTTATTTTTAAACGTTGTATCCGGAATAGGGCATGCAGAATCTAGCTATATTTCTTAAGCTCCTTAGCGCATTTTGACATTTGTTAACAACCAGCCTTCTCAACTCTACATTTTTCTGCCTTTTTACTGGAAGCCAATATGGTTAAACACTTCCACCAATCGCCTCATACATCTTACCTATATCGTCTGTTCACCGGCATGTCGAGCAACTCGACCCGCCAAACAGAATCAATCACGCAGGATTGGAAAGGGAAAGTTATTACAAATCCGCGCGGAAAATGTGGTCGCCAAAATCAGTGTCGTGTAACATTTGCCAATTTTTTTTAGCGTGCGCACTTGATCCAATCACACGCGGTGCCTCTAATTTCGGCCTTTTATCTCATCCCAAGGCCGACATATTTGTCTTGGTGTTTAAGCTTTCCATATCGTTCCAACTTGACGACCGTGGCTAAGTCAGCTTTAGTGGCTTTGCTACTCGGTGAGCAGTTGCTAAGATCTAAATTGGTGACGATTTACTCAGTTTTACACTGAACAGATCTCTTTTGGTGAAAAAAAAATACAGAAAAGCTTGGTGATTACTTCTCTCGTAAGTCATCTGAATTGAAATAAAAGTTCTTGAACATACTTTTTATTTCAAAATAATTGTATACATCACAAGTTGGTGTAAAAATTTCATTTTGAACTGAGCACGAGCTATTGACCAGACAATCGGTTATGTATAATTCGACAACCAGAATTCGGCCGTGTCCGAAACGGGCTTCCAGAGCTACGGCTAGGTCTATTGTCTACGCGTCTCCACGCATTTCCAATGGAGCGAAGACCTAGACCTAGCTCTAGACAAGAGATTTGGATGCAGCTTTACAACTCTCTCCTACAGTGGCGTAACGCTCGTGGACAGGTGGTACGCGCGCGTTACATGTCTCTCCGGCCAATAGACTGTCACAATTTGCTAAATGAACGCTCCCGTCAAGCTGAAGAAAGTGGTTGTAAGCACGGTGCCACAGCAATTAAAGCTTCCAATCAGATTAATCTATACCATCGGTAATATGGGCGGTTCACAATAGTGCACTTCCAAGTGTTTGCAACGTGTTGACCAATCCCGTTGCGCGAAATTTGTCGACCCTTTGTAAACGCGCATTGGGTCAACAGATTTCGCGCATTGTAATTGGTCAAAGCGTTGCAAACTCTTGGAGGCGCGCTATTATAAAACGCCTGCGTTCTGTAACGAATTACCATATCAAATATTGCAGGATTTGAACACTAACTGCGAAACTCTGTACCGTCACCTTACATATTACATGGAAATCCAGTGATAGACAAGCGAGCGACATCTACAGGTTTTTGTTCCTCCGGCTATGCACAACGACAAACACTCAGTGTCGGGAAATGATGTGTTATTCAATGCCGACGACGAAACTACAAAAAGGAGCCTGAACAGACATTTTCACGGGCAGGCAGAGTTTTTAGACCGTACAGGAAATTTAACTAATGATCGGTATTGCCTTGGAAATGTGCCCTCTTCTGCTTACGAAGTCTCTTTCCTATCATCTGAAAAGGACAACGGTCACCTCAAGTTAGACCAATCTTAAATGCAGTGATAGTGAGAGCGACTGTAAGCGTGATATTGGATATATCTGTCCAAGACATGACAAGCACCACTCTAAGGCATTTTACTGAGAGGAACCCCAACAAACACATGCAAGCAACCACCTTAGATTTTCTAAGATATCTAATGATATACCAGGCCGTTTATATTATTTCAAACCTTTGCAATAAGTATTATAGGAGCTAGTTTTGTCAACATTTAATATATTATAGACTTAATTATTTCTGTTTGTCTAGTTTTCGATAACAACCACAAATTCTATCAACATAATTTGTTTATATTACAGCTTGTAGTCCAACATTTACGAATCTCTCTTCGTGCATTATTTCATCCCAATAGTTTATCTTAGTTACAATGCCAAATTGTTTTCAGATAACTAAATCAGTTGGTTTGAACACAGCTCCTAAACAGACGAAATCCCCCTACTACAGATTAAACAGCAAACAAGGCTGTTGTGACTGGTTGGAGGGAGGACAATCAAACGATTTCTATTGGGACAATTCGGGCCAAGTCACGTAGGAGAAGAAATGAGGGGCAAGCCTGGATTGGTTCGTCGGTTGTGCCCTGGTGCCCAACCGACAGCTCAATTACCTACCAAAACGTTGACTTCATTCCGATGAGCGCATTAGTCAGGATTGGTTTGGCATTTTCCCGCCCGCTCTTTTCTATCTTGAGCGGTCGTGCTGCCTTGAAACGACGGGGGTATAGGCCGTGCGTGTGGGTTGGAGCGAAACAAAAGTACGTGGGTTACCCGAGAGCAATTGAATTATCAACAGACAACGATGTGATTTGAAGATCCAAACCATCCCGATGTCACGACTTGAAACCATCAGCGAGCCCACACGCACATGTCACATGTGTTGGAGTATCATTGGTTAACCTAGCTGTATACGTCACCGTTATTCTTGAAACACCACTGGTAACTCATTCATGATGACGCACACAGCCAGCAGCCAATCACAGGCTGTTTCAAAAAATTTAGCTTGTAACCATAGAGCTATAAAAACAATATAACTCTATGCTTGTAACATAAGTACCAGTGGCAGGTTATAATAAACGTCGTTTTTCAAGTCTGTACAATAGCCTTGGTCATTTCAGTAGAATTAAGAAAATAAACAATTTAAGAATGTTTAATTCAATACGTTATAATCTCACTTAGCCTTGTAATTATCAGCGATTTCCTCCGTAATACATAGAAAACATGGCTTCTATACCTTTGGCCATATTTCCAAACCGGATATGCTGCTTCATAAGACATCATTATGTGTGACCTCCAGTTTCTTGATTTCCCTCTTCAGTTAGACTTTTATTTTGTGTGATGGTCTCCTGTTTGCCGTTGGAAACCAGTCTCCGTTTTTTTTTGTTTGGGTTTTGTTTGTTGTTTGGCTTAGTTTCCTTCGCGTTACTGCATGTTGTTGTTTGTTTATGACAATGTCAAGAAATGAGGGCTATCATTAACGGATTCGACAGTTTGAAATGTAATATACCTCGTCAATCCTCATTCCAAGTAAGATGACTAAGCCAGTGAAACATAACACAATTGTTATCCTTATCCTTCTTTTACATTCTCCCGTTTCTAAGGTATTTTCCTGTCATGTTCTTCTTTGTTCTTCTTTCTGTGGTTGCCTTTATCGTCGAAACTATCTTCCTACCAATACCACTTTTAATAGAACAAAATGCCCACAGGAAGGCTGTATTCTCTAAGATTGTCAAATTTAATAGGCTGATGACTTCATCTATAGGTGACACAATCTAATATCAGTTGCTATATCTTCTCTTAGCCACGAACGTCGTCATCATCCAGATGCTGAAGTCACTAAATGCCCTAAGGAAAAGACATGCGTTGAGTGTCAGGGACCATTTGTTGTTCCTTCGTTGTTATGGGCTGATGGTATGTGGTAATACAGAAAATGGTCAGTGTATACCCCGCGTGTCTCTATGCGAAGTGTGACGATTGCCGCGTGAAATATTTGGCGCAAGTGCCAAGCCGATAGAATGGCTGACGGCAAAGTCGTGACTTTCTTTCCTCTTGGTCAGTGTTGATAAAGAGAATTTATTTTGTCGATGGACTTTATGATGTCGTCCCAAAAGATTAATATCTTAAGGGGCCAGGCGGTTACGCTTGGAGTTGTCTTCTGACTTGCTGATTTGAACCAATCTCCATATTACATGTGAACTTATCTCACATTGCTTCGGTACGGATTTGTTCTTTAACGCCATTAATTTTGTACTGAATAACAATATGAACCAAAACTGCTATGAAATGATGTGATCACAAGAGGAAAACCACATCCCTTAGGAAGCTCCGGTAACAT